AGTGAGTCTGAAATTAATTGAAGTGTAAGGACATTATCGATTGTTGACGAACATTTTTTGACTGTCAGTAAAACGCTTTATGCGCATAGAAGACGATAACGCAAACTTGAATATTGAACATTTAGAGTAACAATACGTGTGCACATATATACATATCTTTTTATTATAAATATTTTTTTATATTACACTTGTACTTATTCCAGTAAATGATTCTTTAGATTAAAGCGCATTCATAGATCTTGTTTAATGCACTATTTTTAAACTATATTTTTCGAAGCTATTCTAAAATGTAAAATATAATAAGAGAGTTGAAAATAATTCTTTTACTTCGAAAGACTTTTTATTCCCAAAATTTGTAACATATACGTGTTTTATTTATATATATGGTAATATTATCAGGTTTTACATTAAAACTTGAAAATATAAATTATTATTATTAAGATATTTATATTTGATATAACACTAGAGATGTACGAATTTCGTTGTTTTCCGTTTATGAACGAAACAATCGTTTTTTTTATTTAAAAAATAGAAAAACGTACGGAATACTATCAATTAGCTCTGTGATAATGATTATAAGTTACTATGATTATACTATAAAAATTATTATTTTCTATATTATATTAATTTAATTGTTAATTTATCATTACACTATATACGTATTCTTAAACCATATAAATAGACATATTAACACTTAACTAAAAAATGATCAATATTAACGCAATTGTGATTTAAACCAGTCAAAAAATAAATGGATAGTTCAATCGATGGTTTTTGTTAGTCGTTTTACGGAGACGATTTCAAGCATTTGACGCATGCTCGTTACTTTATCGCCACAGTCTGTCATAGTATTTTGAATATAGTGAACAGCTGATAATAGGCACGAACACTATCTTTTGACATTGTATCTGCATATTGTATTGATTGTGGCTCGATTTTATTTTTGATACATTATGATATGCATTAATATCAATCTCCCACTCTTCATGTCGATTTTCTCTGTCTTATACGATAATACCGCGCATATAACACGGACATAACTGGTAACTAACATAATAAGGTCTGGATACCGAATAGCAAAGAGTACCTATATCTCCTATATCCAATGAGATTACCCGGATTATATTCCAAAAAATTAATTATATAATGTAGACGAAAATATATGCAATAAATAAAATGATGAACATGGGGGTTGTAAATAATATTAAACTTTGAAGAATGAACAGAAATTTTTATTCTATGCAGTAATAAATATTGTTTAAATAAAGTTTTTAGCACAATGCGACGTCATTATTTCATGTCTTCTATTCAAAGTCTAGCAACGATTATAATTATAATTATAATTATAATTATAATTTAAGTACATTATTAGCAAATAATATTATTACATAATGTCTACAAAGTATTATAAATTCAATTTAAAAAATTTATCCGCATGAGCTCTATATCTAATGTAATAAAACTAAAGTGCGTTTATAAAAGATATTTTACGAAGAATATCAAATAGCATCAAGTCTAATACTCTATAAATTATTTTTTAATTACAGAACAGTAATATGTTATATTATAACAATATAACAATAATATGACATATAAATATATTTAATTACAAAACAGCATTGTCACAGAAAATTTTATCAATAGCTTCCAGACTATTAATAAAATACTAAGTATTATAAAAATATTAGAAATTATTAAAAATGTTAAAAAATTATTTACAAAACAATAATAATAAATAAAAATAGTGTTGTTCAAAAAATTATTCAGATAATTATAGGTCTTGCATCACATTTGATATTTTTAACCTATTATGACATCTTCTTCATCATAATCTGATATTTTAATTGATCAATTAAACTTTGACTTCTTCCAAATCGCTCTGCAAAAATATCTGACAACTCTTCAACATCACTTTTACGCTGTTCTATCAGATCTATAATGTTTGACAAAATCTCTGGCATTTGATGAAAACGAGTCTCTGCTAATCTTTTCACCTGAAATAAATTAGGATGTTAAGGATTTTTATCATTAATATGTAGTAATTTATTTTTACGCAGCGATCTCTTGAAATATATTTTTTTGTTTAACATAATAACAATACATGGTATGCATACAAATATATTTGATCCCTTAACTGCGGAAGCATATATGTGTATGAAGCGTATATATATGCAAAAGGATTATCAATAGAAAATCAATAAGTATGAATCTAGAGTCATAAAACCTACCTTAGACATTTGTTCATCAGAAAAAACATTCTTAATGATATAATTTATCGTCTTGCTTCCAGGAATATTTCTGTAAGAATAAAATAACATACTTATAATTAATGTATAAGATAAATTTATTTAAAAACAGAATGTATATTTGTAAAGAGAAATGTATTACCTTTTTATATGATTGAAATTTGCTAATATGTAGTCAAGGACCAAATCGTTGCGTGCATGGTTTTGAAGAATTAAATTGAAGATCAATGCATGCTGCTCATCCTTAAATAATGTAGTATTGGATGCTGTAATATTCAAATAGTTGATAATGATATCAGGATCTTCAGCACAATTCAATATTTTCCAAAGTTTCTTATCAGATGTTTGCTGATATAGTGCCATCATTTTATCCCAAGTAGTCCTATTAGCTACCGCTAAACCAAAGCAGTATGTCCAATCTTGCCACCATTGTGGAACCCTATAAAATACATATGTGTCTATGGAAAAGAGGTACATGCACTTCGTACGCATAGCCGACGTTTTATTTTATCTAGTTTTGTATTTTTTTCCGTTCTGTTAGGTAAATCTTATTTTGCAAAATTAAGTGTCTATCGTGCGCTGTTCTGTCACTCTGTATTTGCCACGTGACCATAAGACTACGTGTGAACACAGTGAATGAATAAATAAATGAAAGATGAATCCATCCATAACGGCTCTTGTTATTATATACATATATTTTTACTTGTTTCGCATATTTATTCTATGTATTAAAACAAGAATGAAAATTAAGAAAAAACAATAAAAAGACTGTCTGATTTCGATGACTCGAAGAAATAAAAGGAATCGATTACATCCATATGCATATACGTGCGCGCGCATACGCAACACACACGCACAAATATAAATTATGAAATAATCATAATCATAAAAAGAGTTACTTGTGAGTATCAGGATCCGCGAAATGTTCGCTCAATTTAACGGCGGCGTTTCTCTTGCATTCCGCGTGACCGACGGTACATGCCCATTTCGTGGCCTTCAGCCTTAGTTTCTTAGTGAAATCGTCATCATCAGGATTTTCTTCGTATCCCACATGTTGAAGAACCTCATCAAAGATTTGTACCATATACGACTAGAAATCATGAGATAATATTGAATTTTATATTGGTTTGTTGCTACATGCGAAGTGACGTGATTCATATATACAATGTATGTATATATGTATATATATATGTATAGATATATCTTAATATATAAAACAAAGTCGGGTTAGTTAGAACACTTATAACTCAAGAACGGCTGGGCCGAATTTTTACCACAAGTATATGAAATAGGGGTAGAATTTTCCGGAATAGCAGAATAACTAATAAAATATCGGAAAAATTTACGTAAAAAAAAAATTAATCTAGAAAGATATCCAAATACATAGAAAAAAATACATAGAGGGAGGAAGAGAGAGAGAAAGAGAGGGGAAAAGAGAGAGAGGGGAGAGGGAGAGAGGGAGGGGGAGAGAGAGAGAAAGAAAGGGGGAGAGAGAGGGAGAGAGAAAGAGAGGGGGAGAGAGAGGGACTATTTGCGTGTCTTATCACTACATTCATTACTGTTAGGTGGTACGAAGTTCGCCGGGGCAGCTAGTTATATATATATCGTTAGTGCCTTAATTGTTAAAACCTTCACTAGAATTCACAAGAATTATTGGTGAGTTTGCGCCTATGTTTCCCTAACGTCTATTCGTATTAATGTTAATTAAAACGTTTTCTACGATTATGCGATTATAAAACCGACCGCGACAGACTTTATGACAAAGCGGTGAATGTGTAAATGCAGAACTGGCCAAATTAAACAGCCAAATATTTTTTTTATCTTTATAAAATCTATTATTACATACCTTGAAACCTTCACTCTCTGGCAGTGAAAAGTACTTTTCATTCCGTTTTAATATTTGGAACATTGGAATCCATGCCACATAATCTCTCTCTCGTTTTAGGTAGTTTATAAGATTTATGAATACGGAGCTATCTAGTTGATCTTCGAGCAAAAAGGCATATGCATCATCGATAATTTGAGCACGATTGAGAACGTGTATTTTCGTGTATTCCTCAGAATTCAAGTAACGTATGATTTTTTTCATATTTGTAGTATCGTAATAGACACGACAGTATGCTGTCGAATTATCCATTAAATTTATTATTAGATCTTCTTGTTTGAAATTATCAAGGTATATTTTCAAATACTGACATTTTGATTATTGTAATAAACAAATTTTATGTAATTTGCACTTTACAATTATTACAAAAAAAATGTACATTACCAATGTACTTTACCAATGAATTATCAATGTAATTCACCAATGTATCGAAGAATATTATAATTATATAAATTTTGAAGCTTCTTTTTAATAAAAAAATATATTAAGAACTTGAATATATTGTAAAATTTTTGTGTTGATAAAGCAAATAAGATAGATATAAAAGAGTGTAAAATTTATTGATTTATACCAGTTTGTTGTATATTGACGATAATCCAACCTCTTGTATTAATTTGCACTCTAAGAGTTTCGTTTGGTTTTAACCAATTATTGGGCATAGTATTGGAAAAATCCGGAGAGCTCGCGTCAGTGTAGGATATGGGTATCCACCATTTATTATTGATATCTTCAGTTGCGTGGAAACTTGTTTGTGTTATTGCTACTTCACCAGTTTTGTAATTCATCGTTACATTCAGCACAGGATAACGATTTTGGACTATCCATGTATCCATCACTTCTTCTATTGTGAAATTTTGATCTCGCATGTAAGGGACGTAAGAAACTTCGTCTTTAGCACTTTGCATGGCGATCCACAAACCATAGCGAGTGACCGCCATATCAAATCTACTAAATTTGAAATATGACATTGTTATTAGCTATACACATACGTTGTATGTACTGAAATTTACTATTACATAATCAAACGTGAGTATTAATGTACAACTTAATTAATACACATGTTGGAACTAAGAATATAACTTAAAACTAACTTAGTCAAATTATAATTAAGGAACAAAATATGGTCTCTTCTAATCGAATAGCATTGGATATTGAACGCACAAGTTTATATTTCTGATGTGGCGTACTATATTTTCCAACGTAAATGCAAGAAACATTATACTTATGATATTTAATGTTGCTATATGTGATAACTATATAGACTACATACTTACTGTCTAGCGAAATAGTTGGTGATACCCTTTCGAAATACCTCGTCGCCCACTGCATGATGTAACATGCGCAATATAGCTGGAGCTACGATAACACAGCATAAAATACTGATTAATAATACATATATAAAGTATATTTTATATACTTTTATACATAAAATTAAGACATATGTGAACGTATTGCGCAAAACGAGAATTTGTTGTCTATTCACTTTCTGTTCTACCTCTGTCTTCGTGCTATCTACATTAAGCTAATCATGGACGATACATGTTTTTTTATTTACATAATTTTACCTTTTTTAAGAACTTGATCAACATAGAGATGATTACGATCCAAGGTATCGTTATCATAAAGGTTCAATCTAATAGAACCCAGTAAGCCATCATCTAGTTGGAGAGTAGGGTGTATGACCCCAGTAACGAATAAGTCCATTGGCCGCCAGTTTTTAAATATCTATAACATCAAGAAAACAATTTTTTGATATGGCTGAATATAAAAATTTGAAGAAAAGTTCGCATTTATAGGAATACAAACCTACCTGTACGCCACTTTTAATAACTTCGCTATTTTAATTTTTATTGTAATTTATTTATGTCAAATGTTAACCGTTTCACGTATATAAATTCTTTTGAGAAGATCATACTTTAATTATTTTTTAAGATAATGTACATTACTGAATACAAAGATAAAATCAAGATATAAAAATTCTAGAAGTTAAATTTTTTTTGTTAATTATTTATTGTTATAAATGCAAAAAATAAAATACGTTTAAATTCTAATAAAACTATTACAATAATAATTGTATCGCCAAATATGAAAATAATGTTGAAACATAAGAGATTAAAAATAGTAAATCTTTAATATGAGCTTGAGAGAAGATAAGTGCTGAGAACATAATATTCTCGAATTTTAATAGAAATTAGTATTAAATGTTTCGTTCTAGTTATTCGCGGAAAGAACGGTGTTACAATCTTTTTTATAATTCTAAATTAAAGAATTGCCATTAGAATTGCCATTATTTAGCTTTGTCCTGATACATTTTATAAGAATATAGAAATATTTAATGGATGTTATTTTGATCTTAGAGAATGAAGTGCATTTCCAATTTTTCTATTTAACGAGCAATTCATTATATTAGTAATATTAAACAACCTTGTCGAGGAAATACACCTGGAAATACACAGCAAATCCTTCAATTAACCATATGTCAGTCCACCAACGTAAGGTGAGGAAAGTGCCGAACCACTGATGTGCGATTCCATTTGCTACATGAGAAGCTACATTCCTTTTCCAAAATGTAGGATCCTTGCTATCATCGTAGACAACTTTTGATTCTCTAAAAGACATAACATAATATAATATTCAAAATGTGATTATGCCTAGTTTTTTTTCATCGTTAGCATGCAGTCTAATGTGTTTATATATATATAATGAATATATATATAATGAATATATATTGAAAGAAAGAGTACATTCACATCAATTAAGAATGAAAATATATAAATAAAATTTAAATATCCATAAAATACATGTGTTTTTTTATCGTTTTTAATTATCAAAATTTGAATGCTAGAAGTTATTCGTCAGTTCTAATAACTTCACATTAATTTTTTTTATTCATCTACATATTAATAAATCTCTTTAGTTATGAATATTACTTGTAAATGATGATTCCCCAATCTCCCATGGAGGCTTTGGGGTAACCTGGTACGATGACGTGATCTATTTTCGGTGCCAGATTGATTTTACCGATATACTTCTCCAAGAGCGGCATGATCCGTTCGGCAATGCTTAGCACGAATCTTGCTTGCGACGTTAAAGACGATCTGCACCATACATTAACGGACTGGTTCGTGTTACTAACGTGAGCAAAATTTGATACAATCACAATTCCCACAATATAAGTGGACATTAGATAAGTGCGTTTAAAGTGTGTCCATTTCATGTCATTTTCTACGTTGTATTGCTTTCGGATCGGCCAATTTGACAATACATTGTATTTTTGATGATGCCTCACGGAGATATAGAAGGAAGAATACATCTCTGGCTCGTCCCAACATGGAAACACCCGTCTGGCTTTATTCGGCTGAAGGTATGTTGCGGCCAACCTGTGATTTTAAACAATTTTATAAATAAGGACAAAAATACTACTCATAGTACAAACTTACCACTCATAGCGAGTAGGACACGAGAAGTTAAGGAACACTAGTTATTGTTTATATATTATATGTTTATTATATTGTATGTAATTATTATTTTGTTGAGAGTAGAAACAGAAATGTTGTACTCTGCTGTCGTTTCATTTTGAGCCAAAGTAAATATTCTTTTAAACATTACATGCATTTTTTGCAAATACTTTATCGTAAATTTACTTATACATACTAGAAAACGGTTTTAATAATAAAATGGATACACATTCTAAATTGTGTTTCGCCGTACTTTATATATGTTGTAAGTTGATAACGATGAAAGTAGTAAATAAAAAAAGGTAATAAGTAAAAGTAACAAATAAATAAGGTAACAACAATAGCATTTACGTACGTACGTTACAAAGTATATTTTTAATATTTGCTTACGTCCTGTTATATTTTTTGTATCCTTTCTCGTCTGTGTACGGAATTTTTATAAAACCACCGAGCTCAAAAAGATCAGTCTGAGAGAAATTACCAGCAAACTTCATGTTCAGGATGTAAGATGTGCCGCAAAACAATTGCCGTTCGAAATGTAGCGTTAATATATTTGTTTCATGGTCATAAGTATGTTCCGTCGGTTTATATGTTATTGTGTTGTTCGTCAACGTTGTCGTCGTTAACGTTGTCGCCGTTTTATTTATTTCTAATCCTTGCGAGTGTAAGCTTATCTCAAACAAATCGCGAAAAATGGTGACAGTGACTCTGATTTCACCGTGAAAAGTATTGCTTTTTTCGAGATCTGGAATAATCAGACTAAGGTTATAATCAAATGGTGCTGAGTTGGTGGGTAAACGATGTATTGGATTTGGATCATCAGCGACACACAAGTCCGTGACTGTAGCCAATATTAAACCGATATGTAATAACAATTTTGGGAATTCCATGTCA